GATCACAGCCCTGCGCCGACGCCTGGGCCACGCAAGCGCGGCAGCCTCAGCAGGCAGGCGCCTCGCCATTTTTGGGCCCCGCGAGGACCCGCGGGAGATCCAGGAGTCGCTGCGGCTTCGCGCGCGGGCCCATGAAGGGGCGCGCTTTGTTTTTCCCCGGCTATCAAAGCAGAGCGGCGCGGCCAGAGGCGGCGGGGCACTCCGCGGGCATGGGGCCCCGCAACCGCCTTCGGCGCGTGAGAGGACCAGTGGGATCTACCACCTGCTACTTAGCGGCGACAGGATGGGGCCCGACTGCAGCAGAATCTTGGGAAAGCCAGCAAGTCCAGACGGCGTGATCGGTGTTCGGAATTTTCCTGAGAGCATTTGTCGATCGGAAAGGAGTGATCTTTCTCGCGATCTGGGCCGGGGGCTCGAATGCGATCGCCCCGGGATGTCGCGGCCCAAGGCGAGCGCTCAATGCTGCGGCGGCGGAGCTGCGGGCGGCGCTGAGATGGGCTCGCGCATTTGTTTCGCGCGCCAACTTTGCAGTGTCCCGCGCGGAGGCGGGCTGGCGGAGCTGACGGTCGCCGTCGCCGCAGGCGGCGCATGGCCACGGGGTTGGGGAGAGAAGCTGCGACCAGGTCGCCGCTCCCCCATATCTCAGCGACGCGGCCAGGACAAAGAGACGCCTCTCCACAGGTGATGGCCGCGTCCCTCCAACCGGGGGTCTCTGGCGCATGGGAAGTTGCAGCAGAGCGCTTCTGGTTGCGAGGATTGCTACAAAAGGCTTGGACTCAGACCCTACTGCCGTCACTTGTCGAGGACCGAAGATGCGCGGGCTCCATCGCTACAGCAGCCAGAGGAGCAGCATGCGAAGGGGCGAGAAAACATCCCCTTCATTGCTTTGGAGACTCAAGCGGCGGACCAGACTCTGCACGCCAGGACCTCTGACGCGTTGGAGCGGGCCTCGCGCGTGCAGCTGCGCCCGCCAGAGACGCGGCGGGAGCGTTTCAAACCCTGGCCACGATTGAAGGACCCTTACCAAGCCACCGCCAGGTTGTTGGAAGAGGCGAATTAACTGCTTCGCGGCTGGCGCTGCATTGCAGCACTGGGCGCGTAGCATTTGTAACAGACACGTTCGGAGTCATTGAAAGTTGGCGCACTGATAGATATCCGCAAGGGCTTCGCCCTATGCCGCCGGCCCCCTGTTTCGGATAATGGGAGATGCAAAAACTAAATCATGAGGTCTGGGCGCCGCCGTGAAGCAATGTCGGGACCTGTTTGTTTTTCGACCCTGACCCTACGGATCTGCGTCACGGGTGCCACCGGATTTCAGAAGCGCGGCAAATCCGTTGTGATTTTGGACCCTGGCCCTACGGACCTGCGCGAGGGGCGCCGCCGAATTTCAGAAATGCGGCAAACCCTATTTGTTTTTGGACCCTGACCCTGCCGATCTGCGCGAGGGGCGCCGCCGGAATTTAAAGGCGTGGCAAGTCCCCTGTGCTGTTCGACCCTGGTCTTGCCGATCTGCGTGGTTTGTGCCATCGACTGTCAGAAATGCGGGACATCCCTTCGCGTTTCTGTTGGCCCTGACCCCGCCGATCTGCGCGAGGGGTGCCGCCGAATTTCAGACGCGTTGCAAACCCCATGTGTTTTTGCGCCCAGACCTCGCCGATCTGCGCGAGCGGTGCCACCGAATGTCAGAAATATGGCGAACCCCTTGCGCATTGTCGACCCGGGCCCCGCCGATCTGCGCGAGGGGCGCCAGCAAATTTCAGACACGTGGAACACCCCTTCGTGTTTTTTAGACCGATCTGCGAGAGGGGTGTTAATGTTTACGCGCCCCAGCAATTCAGAGCACGCGCTCAGGGCGCGGCAAGAATGCCCGTCGTGGGCCTCGCCTTTCGCGCGGCCCATCAACGAGGAACAGTGAGCAGCAAGAAGAAGTCAACAAGGAACAGTAAGCAACAAGACGCATAACTGTAACAGCGGAAACTTGAAGCTGCATTTGGCACAGGAAATTGCGAACCTTCGCCCTACAGCCTGGTGGCCCCACAAGGGGGCCGGCGGATTTGACGCCCCGGGGAGCAGAGGCAGATGCATGGGCCAAGATTTGCCGCGAGGTTGCTGCGAGAGGCGCAGTTGGAATTATTCGATCGTCTGTCAGCCATCATCTCTCAGGCGGAGCAGTGAATATACAGTTGTTCCCCGAATGGTTGCTCCTCGGTAATCGCGCAGCTGGCGCCGTTGCCGAAATGGTCGCCGCCCGTAGTCGAGTTGATGAGTCACCAGAGCTAGCACTGCTGGACACGAGCGCCATGCATTCCCGCATTCCGTGTCCGACATTGGCTGTTGCTTGCCTATTAGATGCCATTCAATGAACGTGCTCTGGGCAATGGAGCGAAGAGAATCTAAGGTTGTCAAGACCCCCTTCCTGGGCCGATGCAAGTATCTTTTTTGGTCAGGGGGGGCTGCCTCACAGCAATTGGTAGGTGCTGTAGCCGCTGTAGAGGTTCTGCCGCGCTCAGCGCAGTTTTTTGCCTGGAGAAACTCGCCGCGCTTGGGATTTAAACAGATCGGCCGCATGTATTGTTCCGTGCCCGGGGGGGGCTCGTCTGCGCTTGGCTGGGGGGGCGGGTTGTAGCCACATTTGTATGTTCCACTCAGGGTTAACCTTTTGTTCAGAGGGGCAAGTTACATGAATCTCATCCGAGGCATGAGGTCATCCCACCACGTCGCCAGGGGCGCCCCGACAGAATTGAGGCCCGCCAGCGGCCCAAGGTGCTGAGCCGCGCAGAGAGAGAGCTAGCTGCCCGTCGGAACCCTAGAGCGCGCGGGGGGTGCTTTAGAGGGCGCAGAGGGGCCCCCAGGGCAGCGAGCAGGAAGGGGCGGCGAGCACGCGCCGCGCGCGCGGCCGCCCCTGCTCAACAGTTTCATGCCCGAGGACCGCCCACCCCGCCCCTCCGCTATTTCCCATTTCCATCCTGACTCGCTTGGCGATTGCCTTGCTCACTCACTCCTCCTCCTCCTCCTCCTCCTCCTCCTCTCCCCCCTCCCCCAGACTGCGCGCGCGCCCCCGCGAAAACTCCAGCGCGAATGCCGGCGTGGCCGCCCAGGTCCCGCGCCGCTCCTCCTCCAGCGCCTGCTGATGATCTACCTCCGCGCGCGCCTTCAGCAGAGAGCGCGCTTCCGCGTTCGCGCGGGCCCACCCGCCCACCTGTCGCCCCGCGCCGACGAACACGGCATCGCCAGCTCGACCATCCGCAAGGGCTTCTCCTCCCACAAATCGGGCGAAGGGAACTATGCACATGCACCGATCCTGGCAAGGCCCATTCTTGACCCAGGATCGGTGCATATGCCTTCCCGGCCAAGGCAGGAGGGCATATGCACCGATCCTGGGCGCAGGACGGGCCTGACCAGAATCGGTGTATGTGCATAGTTCTCGTTCCTCTACACAAATGATACCTCATGAAGGACCTCATCCTCGCGGACGGGACACGAGCGCGTTCTATGTCGCCTCCGCCGCCTCCCGCCGCGCCTGCCGCCTCCCCGCTGCCCTGGGCGGAGGCCCTGCTCGCGCGCCGCAGCGTGGCCAGCCCGGCGGGCGAACGTGGCCGCCGGCGACGTTCGCCTCCTCCCCCGCGCAGGCCCCTCTCGCGCCCCTCGCGTGTCATTGTGGGTGCCTCGCGGATTGTCTCGGGCCCCACCTGGGCCGTCTGGGGGCCCTCTCGGAGGCCCCGCGGGCCGCCCGGGAACGCCAGGAGCCCGACGAGCAAGAACTTCAAGATCAGGTGCCGCGGCCCGAAGAATTGCGATTTCGGGCAGTCAGGCAGTCAGAGACTTGCGCCTCTCCGGGTCCTCGTGGGGGGCCTTTTGGGGCCCTCTTGGGAGATTATCGGGACTTCTTGGGTGTCTGGAGGGCATGGAGGGAAGTCTTTGGGTCTCCGGGGCCGTCTCGGGGAGCTCCTGGACCATCTCGCGCTTGTCTCTGGACGCATCAGGAGTCATTCGCTTCGTTGTCGGCGGGGCCCCAGCTCCGCCAGCCGACACGACGCGCCCCGGGTGCGCCGCGGAGCGCTCGGACTTGACCTTAAAGAATCTTACAATCTACAAGCGAACGCGCACAACCGCATGCGCCGTTAGGCTAGGAGCTCGGGAACCAAGACAAGCCGTTGTAGGATATGGTCCTGAAGATGATTCTTGGGCTTTACTTTCCCCCACTCGCAGGGCGAGCTCGAAATCGAGCTCGGCGGACGTGTGATTTGGGGAGCAGCGCGTCTGATGTTGTTCGTGAAATGGTGGAGCGCGCGCGCCCCTTCATGTTCTTCAGTGAAGAACCTGAAAGAGCATCAACGTCTACGTCTATCATGATCCCCTTCCCTGTCCGTGCCTGACGCGCATCCTGCGGCTTCGCCGCAGCACATGCATTCTGTTATAGACCATATCGACGGGCTCCGCCCTCCACCATGCTCCTGCGGCCTTCCATCATCCTTCATCCGTCCTCCACCGCACTTCCTCCATCGTCCTCTTTGGTCATTCTCTGTTTCGTGGTTATCAGTGTTCCCCCTCCTTTTCCGTGCGCCAACATCGATTTTACTTCTAGGCGAGTGCCGATCACCCCGCGCGCAGTCCTACTCCGCCTCCTACCGTTTCGCTCGAGGGCGACGGGGTGCGGGGGGGGATTTCGGGTCGGGACTGGGAGTGGGAGGCGGGGGGTCGGGGAGGAGCATGGGCGGGATAAGTTTCGGGTCCTGTAAATGATGAGGGTGGCGCGGGCACGCGTTCCAGTGCCTCCCCCCCCCCGCCTTCCGCTGCCGTGCTTCCCGCTGCCGTTTTTGATCCGAGTGCGGCCGCTGCCCTTTGTACAATTCGCTTCCGTGTCTGAGTGCAGTTCGCGCGAATCAGTGTTCTGAGGATTGGAAGTATATAGCCGATGATACGCCCTGCTGCCCTTGCCGATGAATCTTTTGATGGTGATTGGAATGTCCTTGGAGCTGGCCCCGACCCTCCACCGCGCGATGGTGGCGGCGAGAATGTTGCAGCCGCTGCGCCCAGTGAATCTATCGTCGTGGCTGCAGCGCCGATCGGATCCGTCGAGGCCCCCCGCGTTGCGCCTGCTGCGCAGCAAAAAGCGAGACTAGACAGGATCACGTCCAGCGTGGCGAAATCCAGGGCGCCGGCAGTGCGCGTCCAAATCGTTGACGAGGGCAGTTGAACAGTGCAGCGCTGGCCATAGCGTCGGCGCGACTCGCGCTGCCGTGCATCTACGACGTAGGAAATATACACCCCAGCAGCTCTGCATCGCGCCCGCGCCGAGGAGGAGGGACAGGAGGAGGGGGAAGGGGAAGGGGAGGCGGAGGGCTCGCGCCCCCCGAACCTCCGCGGCTCCACCTGGCAAGCGCACGCAGATGCCCCCGCGAGAAGGAACGGCCCTACCTGCGCCGAAAACACAGCGCATACCAGAAGCAGGTAACCAAGGCACATATGCTCGAGACAGAGGAGCGCAACCCCGCGCGCAGCGACATCTTGGATCACGCACCCTACCACTGCATCGAACTTCGCCCACCTCGGCATCGCACCAGATCAGCTTGCCATCGGAGGCTGCACGCTGTCGACGCACTTGAAGGATGCCACCCGAAACGTGGGCGCGAAGGCACTGCACCTCGTCACAGGTGTTCGCATTAACGACAATGGGAGGCAGCGCGTCACACCTCGGACCAACGGGCTCCGCGTGCCAGCAGACGACCCGGCTTGAGACCAGGTTGCCCCTCCATCGCATGCATCCAACGAGAGATGGCCTACTTCGATACAGCTGCAATTCGGACCTGGCCCGCCCGTGGAGATGCCGCGCAGCAGGGGCCGCCAGCAAGCCAGGATGGCCGACAGAAGTGGAACTGTTGCACCACAATAGACCAATGGCAGACTACCGTGACACTGCTGCACACCGCTACCGAGACGAAAAACAACAACGACACCACAATGGCACCGTTGCACATCGACACCTTGCTCAATTCCATGACATCGACGATCCCACCTCCAGAACCGACAGCCACATCGCGCCCCCTTAAGGACACCACGTCATGGCAGCCACCCCACGCAGTCATGATCAATGGCAGCACCCTGCGCATCATGATGTCCGATTACGGCATCATCTTTACGGGCAGCCCAGACATGCACGAGGAGCAGTAGACCAAGCATTCACCATCCTGCGGGGGAGCGATCATTCCAACCAGGACGAGCGGTGCGATGCCTTGTTGAACGCAGCTGGGTTCGCCCACGCAAACGCATCAGGCTGCACCACTATGTGCCAGCATGACCAGCAATTGACTCACCAGAGCGCACTCGCGAGCGACCAGATACAGCGCACCCACCACCAGCCGCGCGGAGAGCGCAGAGGCTGGCATAGGTCCCCCCATTGAATACCTCATCACCTCTACTGCCGCTGTGCCCGCACCCAAGCAGGCACCAAGACAGCAGTAAGCGGTGCAGCCAGCCGCGCGGCAATGCCCACCAGACTTGCAGCCGAGAAGCATGCCACACATATGGCATAACCGGTAACGCCGCCCATCCACGATGCCAGAGACAAGAATTTCCCCACATCTGCAAGCAGGACCCCCCATCTGAGCAGCCACCACATGCACCGACCTTGCCCCTGGAGGGTATGCCCACTGGACTATCACAACCCTAGGCACCGGAGTGTCAACCTGGGATTACCACGAGAATTAGGGGTGGAGGGATCCACAGACACCACCTGTAAACGACAACGATGAGACGGTCGGGCACATTGGAGAAGGGCGACTGGATCGTCCGAGCCGACGCGCCCTTCAAGCCCGACGGCACAGATGGACCACCACCTTCACGAGGACTTCCACCGATGGCAGCCCGCGAAGTCATCGACCTCACAACCTAGAAGTCATCTTCCGCGAAGACATGCAGATCAAGCTGCAATGACACAGGCGACGCTGCACCAACGACAGAAGCCATCCACGAAATGGGTAGACACGATGTTGCCACAGCAATGGTGCATGCACAACACGGAGCACTGCTCCTCGACGCCGCCAACTTTTTCGGGGAGATCATCAGAGATTTGCTGCCAGGCGGCCCCACCATAGAGCACGCATGGGAAGGCTCAGCGAAATACAGTCAGGCGCAACTACAGCAAACGCAATCGCAGACGACAGCGCTGCGACCACACCACGCACCAACACCATCGTGCCATGCGGCAAATCTGGCGGATGCGGGGCTCGATGGCACGAGCCGTTCATGCCGATGTGGGGTGAGGGGGGGGAACGCTTGCGTCGAGTGCAAGAGCACCCGCATCGTCAAACGCGATGTCCTCAACTAGAGCACGGTGAACGAGGAGGTCCCCGCAGTAGACGACCAGCCATGCGCCCCGGGCCGATGGGCAAGCCACAAAGGCAGAAGGCCAGCACAGTCATGCCCAAAGCACCACCGCAGACCAGCAGCAGGCAACCACCCACGCACAATCCCCACTACCACCGAGGTCGCTCCAACACGCTTCAAGGCATAGCCCATCCACGTGATCAACAGGGGGCCATTGACCACGCGCCGCGGGAGGAGCTCGACACCCATCGCTCGCACTACAAACCACGACGAGCACGCAGCCGCGCCAGCACAACGGGGCATCCGAGTTGCACCGCCAGACGTCGAAGCGACTCCGCCAGCAAGACGACCACAACCTGCACTACGACACCGAGCGCACTGTGGAGACAGATCCAAAAGACCACCAACATCATTCCAGCAACACCGACGCGTTGCACGACGCACCTGCGATGCACAGAGTGTTTCCCCCCCCCCCCCGACTGCGTTCGTGCTGCAGCACCAACGACCGCCCGGGCGGCCCCGCCGACGAGGCGCGCAGGGCCCACGAGATTTGGATGCCTGATTCTTGTGGCGCCGCAGCGGACGCAGCAATGGGCATCCAAAACGTCGGAGCACGCTCGCGTCGCCCGGGCGCAGCCGAGGCCCCGCGCGGACGCGAGGGCCCCCAACCAGCTCCTGGGCATGGGGAGAGCGGACCGACGACCCCGTCACGCACCGCAGCGGCGACGACGAAAGCGACGACCACGCCCCAGCGAACTCACAAGGCACCCAGCTTGAGCGCGAGGCGCCTAGCCGCACACAGGGTAGCAGTCTACCAGATCACGACAGGGCGTTGAGGCACCGCGCACCCAGTGGAGCACTCACCACCGACCACGGGACAGGCACTGGCCAGACTGAAGACACTTCCGACGACCAGCCGCCGTCGACACACAGCACCACGACGACGACATAGATCTAGCATTCACCGACCACCCACCCAGTCAGGGAATGGATGGCCAAAGAGGGTCGGGAGAGCAACAGGTCACTGTCAGCAGCGACCCCCGCCAGATATTCGCTCAACGCCGACCCCCGCCACGCCGTAGGCTGCTGGGCCCGTGGCATGGGCCCGCCTCGCTGCGATGAGCACCAACATCACCTAACGCCCGTCCAGTCTTGGCGCCACATCTGACGCATCTGTGCCGGGCAAGTTGCAGTTGCCCTCGCGGAGGTCAAAGCCGCCCCCGCTCCGACCAGTTTTGCTCCACGCGACCGTGCCCCCACAGTCAGTGGGCCGCCGCCTGTTGCATGTTCCGAGCTCACCAGCCTCTCCTACCTACGCGCCTATTTGCCGATTCGCCGGACGAGCAGACCACCCCGCGCGACGGCGACGACTCTGGCCACCCCGCCCGACCCATCCTCCCCACAACCTGCTCCAGCGGCGGGGCCTTCCAGGCGCTCTCGACTGCGGCTTCCGAGTGCTCCGACGCCCCGTCCGCCCTGAAGGGGCCCCCCCGGTGGCTTGCCGTGCACGGCCTGGTCACATGGTGGGCCGGGCGCGGGCGCGGGCGCGTTCGTCATAGAGTGGGTTCACTTCGACGCCCCCGACCTTGCCCTGCATTTCTCCGCCTGCCAGTCCTCGGACTCCAGAGGGGCCCAGCGCCCGACCTCCCCCCCCCGATCACCTCGGGAGCATCTGAGCCAAGCAGCGGGAAGAGGAGAAAGGTCCTCACCCACCTTTCCCCCGCTCGGCGGGCCGCAGAATCTGCCCCCTCCTTCGGGCCTTCAGCCTGCTCCCCCTCGACCAGCAACTCACCGACACCACTCCACTTGCGGCCCTTCATGTTGCGCTACGGCGCAGCGGGGGCCGCAGCGCATACCACGCAAGAACCCTCGCCAGATGTCTTGGTGTACGCTAAGCCCCCTGGGGCCGCAGGTGGGGTGGCGTCGTTTGTTTTCGGGCCCACCCCGCCCTTCACCTCTGGTGGTCCGCCTTGGGGGGTCGGCCCAGAGGCTGGCTCCCCGCTGGGCCAGCGCGCCTCCCCTCCTCCGTCCTCCTGCGCTCGGGTTTCGATCCGCCGTTGCGCTGTGCTTTTTCGGGCCTCCTGCGTCGGCCCCCCCCCCGTTGTCGCGCTCGTCGGTTCCGCGAGCGGCCGGCTCGAGCCTCTTGTCCCGGGGCCCCTCCATGCCCAATTTCTGGCGCGCGGAGGGAGAGGGCGACGGCTGCGCCTTCTCGGAGGACGAGCGCCGCCAGCGTCGAGTTTCGAGGAGGTGGGCGGAGGAGGGAGGGAAGGAGGGAGGGGAGGGGGGAGGGGCGGCGGAGGGGGAGGAGGAGAAGAAGGAGGAGGAGGAAGGAGGAGAGGAGGAGGAGGAGGAGGAGGAGGAGGAGGAAGGAGGAGGAGGGATGAGGAAGGAGGAGGAGGAGGAGGAAATTGGAAAGGAGGAGGAGGAGGCGGAGGAGGAGGAGGAGGTGGAGGAGGAGGAGGAGGAATGAGGAGGGCGGATGATGATGAGGAGGAGGAGGAGGAAGAGGCTGAAGACGAACAATAAGAATACTTTGAATCAGAATAATAATATATCTAATAATCGGAAAACGAATACGAAACATGATAAGAGCAAGGATGATAACAATACTAGTCGAACCAATAATAAGAAGACACATCATTGTAATAATATGCGTACGACTAATAATCACAATAGTTACAATACGGAGAAGAGGAATGCGAATAACCAGAGTAAGAAAACACAATAGTAATACTGCAACTAAGAATAAGCATCATACTAATACCAGCAGTAATAATAACAATCGTACTAACCATAAGAAGAATAATAGGAGGAGGAGAAGGCAGAGGGGGCGGAGGAGGAGGAGGCGGAGGAAGAGGAGGAGGAGGAGGAGGAGGAGGAGGAGGAAGAGGAGGAGGAGGAGGAGGAGGAGGAGGAGGGGGATAGGTGGAGAGACTCCCCCTCACTCTTTGCGCCGCCTCGGCCCGCCGCCCCCACCCCACCGCTTCCCCTCCCTGCGCCGGCGCAGAGGCCCCCCCGGCGAGGACCCGGCCGCGCCCGCCGAGGCGCTTGGGATCGGGCGCGGGCTAACCAGGCTCCCAGAGGAGGAGAAGGTACCGATACTCGCAGGTGACTTTTCTCCCCCAATCCCCGAGCTTCGCCGGAAAAGTATGACCTCTCAGAAAAAGAGGGAAACCCTGGGATACACCCCCAAGGAGGCTATTCGGACGCACCACTATCGAGGATGAACGCCCCCCAATCGTATATCCCAGGGTTGGGGCTCAAATTTCTGCTTCATGCGAAAACCCCACGATGTCTGGGATAGGGGTCGACATATGCCCTGTTAGATACCGCCACCCTTCGCTCGTTTCCCCTTTTCCATGGGGGGGCCTGCTGAGAGGCCTTCGTCGCCACCGCTGGATTCGCCTCGAAGTTCTGGTCAGAACGCACCGCGGGAGAGGTCGCGGGGTAGCAGGCTGGGTACGTGTGGGTTTCCCCAGGCTCAGCGCAAACCCCGCCGAGCCGATGAACGAACAATATATACCCATACCCATATCGAAGAAGAGAAGACGCCATACATCTAAACGTTTGGCTCTCCGCGCGGATTTCTTGGATCCGCGCTGGGCCCCCCTGGCGGCGCCTCTGGCGCCGCCCTGGCGCGCTCCGCGCGCCAGGGAGGGGGCTCCAGCGTAGATCCAAGAAATCCGCGCGGAGCGCCACATTTTTTTGTGTATGAAGTCTTTTGTTTCTTCTCCCATAACGGGGTCGTTGGGAGGAGGACTGGCTATGGGTATGGATGCGGGTTGTCGGACGCAGGGGGGACGCTCCAGTTCGAGCGGGGACCCCCATCCGACAACACGCACCCATAGTTCTCTCCGACCCCCCTATGAGTATGGGTGTGCATTGTGCGTTCGTCAATTCCCCAAAAAATCGCTCCATTTTTTCTGGGGGGTCCCAAGCCTGGTGCAAGGCCACCTCCAGGGCCGCGAGGGGCTCCCAAGCCGGCCTCGCCAAACTCCGGCTTTGCGGGATCCTGCAGGGTCCGGGGCTGTTCGGGGGCGGCCAAGAGGGGGTGATGACGAGGGGGGAACTAAGAATCGGGGCCCAGACCTCATGGCCCTCCTTGTTATTCCAATACGTCCCTTGGCCCCCTGTGGGCCGCGCACCTGCCTCGGGGTCCACGAGTTGCGGCTCCCCTCTTGGACGCTCCCCTCTTGGACGCCTCCGAGTTGTGGCTGAGCTCCGTTTGCGCTGAGCCCCATGACATGCGCCCCGATGGGAGGGGCGGGGTTATGATGTTCCAACCTACGTTAGCCTTGATCACAAGGAAGACTTTCGAGCACCAAGAAAGCACCAAAACTCGAGGGTTTTCACGTGTCGGGCCCTGGTAGACACTCGTTCGTCACTGTTGCGACACTTTTCCGGATGCTCGAAATTATTTCTGGGATGCGGTCTTTAAGTACGATGGGGGCAACATAAGGGTGGGGGGGCTCCATGCGCAGTGTCAGGAGTCCTCCCCTGGCCTCCCGGATGACCCCCACATGCCTCCAGGAGGGCCCACGAGCCAGGCCCCTGCGTCTTGTTGTTGCGTTTGCTTGGGGGGGCGCAAAACAAGGTTGCGATACCTATCGCTCGATCGACGTACGTATGTTTGAAATGCCCGGTTCCAGTATTCTGCAGGCGACTTCCTGTTCCAAGAGTCGGGCGGTTTTCCCGCTTCCTTTCTCGAGGAGGCCGGCGGAAACCCAGTCTATGTCAGTGCTTTCCTATGTCTGGTTTCTACCCGTTTTTCCCGCATGGTGGGTAATGTTTAGTGGGCGTCCTGATTGAATAATATTGGAACGCTCGTTCGATTGATGTAAGTTCGATTCAGAGCTTGAGTCAGTTTGATGAGACGTGTTGCAATCGAAATGCACTTCGCACGCTTGGCCGCACAACTGCCGTTTCCTTAAAGCTGGAGCATGCATTCCGAGGACATGTTTGCACTGGCCCACTGCGGTCATTTGCCTCGGGGACGATCTGCCGTGCATTACTTTGGCATCATCGTAAAGATGGAGCAAGCACATAATATTAGAGGAACGAACAATGAAGTAAGCATAAAAACTCTGAGGTCCGCGCGGATTTCTCGGATCCGCGTTGGACCCCCTGGCGGCGCCTCCGGGGGTCCAGCGCCGACCCAAGAAATCCACGCGGATCTCCGAGTTTTTATGCTTATGCCATTTCTCGAAACCCTGGATATAAGGTGTGTCTCTCCAACTGAAAGCAAGCGGCTGCCCCGGTGTCGACCGCATGCCATCCGAGAAGCCTTGGGCTCCCTCGCCCGATGGCCCCACCTACTCCCGTGCGCGCCATCTCCCGTGCATGCCGGTCGTGAATGTCCCTCTACAGGAGGAATACACAAAACAAGTCAAGCGGCATATCGTTCAAGGTTGAACGATCCTCGCGGTGTCAGGAACCAGCGCCAGGCTCGACACGACACGATCTTGCCGTACTCCTACTTGTCTCGTTCTCTCCGCCTGATGGCTTCGTGATTCTTCCCAGGGCTCGACCTACCCTTGCTAGGCCGGTTTTGTCTGGATGGCGGTCTGCAGCAGGGGCAGAATGAAGTCAGAACCAGTGCAAACGATACCACAACGAAAACGGAAGAGCAATGTCTGGACCGAGCCATGGGTTGCTCCTCCACCTCCGACTGATCCCCCTCCCCCATCCTGCTCGGTGCGAGCGCGTGGGCGGCGCCTCCTCACCGGCAGGCCGGGGGAGGCGGCGGCGTCACCCAGGCCCCGCCTCGCGGCCCTCCAGCGACTCCGAGTCCGGACGGTTTCCGGCTCCGTTGCGGCGGGGAGCCACGCGCTCTAAAAGGCTGAAAGTTCCAGGCATCAAGGGAGGAATGAGCACCTCGACCCCCATAATTGGGCGTTTCCTGAACGGCTCGTGGCGTTCACTACACTGCCCTGGGTGCGTTTACCAAGCGGTTTCGCTTGTCGGGGTGCTTATTCTGAGGGTGGTCTTCCTGTTCTATAAAGCAGCCACCGCACCTTGCATCCTCCGCTTCAAGTTTTTCTCGCGCACGCTGCAAGATCCTCATCTCCCCGCAACGCTGCCGCAACGCTGCCAGACACTCATCTTTGTGGATGTAGACGGCGTGCTGAACCTCGCAGTGCGCGATCCAGAGGAGCTTTCTCGCGGCCAAGTCTCTGGGTGTGTGGTCGTTGGAGGGCCGCTCGAGCGGGAGAAGCAGGGATGTAGCGCCGATGTCTGCCGAGAACAAAGACTGCCTCTCCATCAAGTTATTCAGGGAAGGTTTCCCTCGCAGTCTCTCCTCCCCCCCTCACCCTTTACCCCACTTCCCTCTCGTCCCCCACGGTCCATGTGCGCTTCTTCCGTCCAGTTCCGCATCCCCCTCTTGGGGGAAATTGTTTCTCCTGGCCACCCCACGGCCCCGAGCACACAGCCACCCCCGTGCCAAGACCACGAAAATAGCGGGGCGTTGCTCCAGTATCACTATTCAGATTTAAACAGTTGATGCTTGTATCCCGTCAGTAACTTAGCGAGGTCGAGTGACGACGAGGGAACGTGGCGACGTCGAGTAACGATAGGAGTCGTGCCCCAAGAGTGATAATAGCAATATTCCGTATGACATGTCAGAGAGAGGGGGCCGAACGGTCATTCATTGTCCTCGGGCGCGTGGTTGAAGTGAGGTTCCGCGGTGAGGATTGTTTTCGTTGCGTTGTTTGTTGTTACTGTTGTTGTTTGTTGTTGGTTGTTTGTTGGTGGTTGTTTGTTGGTTGTTGTTTGTTGTTTGTTGTTTGTTGTTTGTTGTCGTCGTCCCACCCGCGACCCGGCCCGTGACCCACCCGCGACCCTCCCGCGGCCCACCCTCGACGCACCCGAGACCCACCCCGCGACCCCCCGCGCGACCCACCCCGCGACCCGCCCGCAACCCGCCCGCGACCCACCCGCGACTCACCCGTGATCCACCCGCGACACACCCGTATTGTTTTTGCGAAAAATTGGCGCTTGTGGCGGGTTCGCTGGATAAGTTGTAAAAATTAGCCGCTTGCGGCGGGCTCCTACAGAGCCTCGCAGACTGCTGAAGTCCCCGTCGCCCCCTCACTCTTATCCGCAACTGCGGGGGGCTACGTATGCACTTGATCTACGAGCTTGCGAGTTGCATGCGTGCACTTCTTGTCGCAGTTGCTATGGTTGCAATCTTCTTTGTTGCATAGATGGATTCCTTGTCGCATGTACGCATGTGTCCCCGTCGCTTGCCCGGCGTCTCCCACAAGCCTTGCCCATAGTGTTGACCTCGGCGGGAGCTTCCGCGACCCCGCCCAGACAATTTGAAGATTCAGCAGTCCACGCTCGGGACGAGACCAATGGGGATCTCAATTTGGACAAGGTTGCATTGAATCCTAACCGAGTCCGACTTGAAACTCATGTCATTTCGTGACGTGATCGTGCGGTCGCATATACCCTCATGATTATTCGCCCGGCTGCTGTGCCCAGCCTTTTTTTGTCAGCTCCAGCGTGGCTCGAAGCTACCAGAGCTCATCGCGTATTGCGCCACGTGATGGGATGTAGTTCCAGCGTGAACGACGCTGAGTTGCGCGCCGCCCCCAGCGTCGCCAGGATGCAAGGGGGGGAGCTCCAAAAGTGATGCCGCTTCTGTCTCCAATGTTGGTCGAGGATCTCAGTTTCATGGCGGTTGGGGGCATTTGGTGGCGCTCGAGTGGGCTCTAGAGATACAGTCGTGACGCTGGAATGAGGACCATGTTGAGATAAGGATTGGCTTTGGTTTCCGAGCGGTGTCTTAGATCCAGGGTTGAGAGCTCATGTGTGGGCGGGGTTCTCCGTGGCCAAGAGTTCTTTCCTTGTTCAGCCATCCGTACATTAGCGCGACGATTGTAGCGGGAGTTGTGCCACTTCTGCAAGGTGTGAGGGAGGGGGGGCGCTCACGCAGACCCACCCACCCAGATACCCACGAAGTTGGTTCTAGGCTAACAGCTCGAGCCCACCTGCAACGTTCGCCAACACAACTTGCAGCAGCAGGTAGGAGGACGGCGAGTACGAGGACGATGAGAAGAGGCGTCATTCCTCATGTTGTCATAGTTGTGGTCGTGGTGGTGCGGTGGTGGAACAGCAAGCAAGGACCTGGAGAAAAGATGAGAATGAGGAGGATCTGCAGCAGGATGGACTGCATCTCGAATCGGACACGCGGAGGTCACCCCTCCTCGCGACGCGGCCATCGGACAACCCAGAAAAGGAATGGCGCGCGACAGTGCCACCTGCAGCCGGTCGGGCGTTTGCATCCCGTCGGGGCACGGCACTGACTCAGCACGACCAGCCCGTTGCAGACGGTTGCCAACAAGTTCGCAGATTGGTGCATCACGCAGTGGGGTTACACGCGTCGTTTCTCCGCTTTTGGGTGCGTTTGCTAAACGACGTCGCTCGTCGGGGTGCTTGTTATGAGGGTGGTGTTTCTGCTCCCTCCTCTCGTGCCCATCCTTTACCCTCTCTCGCCTCATGTAGTTCTCAGGAGGAGTGTGCATTGCGAGGTTGCTGCGGGGCCGTGGCGTACTTGGGGCCGCCGTGCCGATTGCGGGGTGGCTTTAAGTTTCAGTTGTTCGGGGTATGCTCGGGATGAGCTTCTGGGGTAACATGACACACCCAAGCAGCCCTTCTCCTCTTCTTGAGCATGTGTCCTCATGTTCTTGCCATCTGAGATTCCGATTTCGACTTGGGCCCGTGCTTGTAAATCTCTCCTCGTTCGCGCAAGTTCGACGTCTCTACGCACTGAGAAGTGAGGGCCCCCTTTCCCCCCTTGCCCCCTCTCGTTGGTTCACCGTCGCCGCCAGTACTCCCGCGTCGCACCGCGCGTTTCTGCATCCGCTGCGCCCCACGCGGGTCTCCGTCGGGGACGCAGCCTGGAACTCTGATTCGGACATCACACGAGAGTTGCGCCCTCTCTGCTTGCCATCGTCGCGATCTCCAGACTATGTCTATGTGATTGTAGCCTAGCTTTCTCGAGCCTTCCAACTGCCAGTTGCCGCCGAATGGCCTGACGATGTGCTCCGCAGATGGCAGACTATTATAGTCGACAGCATGCTGTCGCACCACGAAGCTGGACTACAGTTGTTGTTAGACCACTGCATACAGCCCCACAGGGGTCGGCCCGTCCACCTAAGCTAGGAAATGAGTCCCCCAATTTACACGGTCCGCCTATGAGGCTCTCATCGCCGAGCGAGCAACAAGGCAAATTTTCTGGCTCGGCACACGGGGAACACAATGTCAGCCGATTGATCAATTCGGCCTGCTGTTTGAACTCACATGGCTGGCCAAGCGTCAAGGATCACCCGTGGGGCTTCATTATCGAACAGTTGATAGTATGCACGGCCTCCTTGCGAAATTAGTGGGCAAGCCCGTTGGCTTGCTGGTAGGCCTGCTGAGCTACCACGTCCGGCTACTCATTTACATGTCTGCGAGTCGAGCTATAGGCTCAACCGCTCTACGTGTGACCGTTTTCTTATTCCTTGTTTTGCCGATCGGCGCGGGCCCTCGCACCCCCCTCCCCCCGACTCAATGGATCTTGGCTGCTTTTGGCGCCTGTTTCGAGCAGGTGGAGTCTCTCCTCACAGGACGCACTGTTGCAAACAGTCGCGCTAAGCAGGGGTCCAGAGCGAGACCTTCCCCCTCCCCCCCCTTCCGCCCAATGTCGAAACGCCGAATAAGAAAACGCTGGCCACAGTTGCCAGTGCCCAAGTGCGAATCCACAGGGCCTGCCACTTGATCCAGCAGCCCCGCCTGCTGGGCCACACAGCCGCACGCCCGAGCCACGGAGCCGACCTGCTGCGCGCCGCTAGGCTCGGCCCTGCCGCGCTGCGTAGAGGACCTGCCGCGCTGCGCAGAGGGCCTGCCGAGCTGCGCGGAGGACCTGCCGAACGGCACGACAGACTTTCCGATCCACGAGGTCCAGAGGCTGAGCTCAGAGGAGAAAATGTACCCATACCGCCACCCTCTTCCCGTTTTCCCCTTTTTGGGCCTCCTCGGAGGCCCTCGTCGCCACCGTTGGATTCGCCTCGGAATTCTGGTCAGAACGCACCCCGTGAGAGGTCAGGGGAGTAGCAGTATCCGTACTCTTTGGTCTCCCATGAGCTACAGGGCCAACCTGCCGAGACGCAGGCCCCGCCGGCTGCGGTTCCTCTTGTCGCCGCGTGCTCGGCGAGAGTCGGAGCAGTTGGAGGCGCAGGTGAGCCCTCGTTGCCGGAAGAGTGCCTTGTGGAGCTGCTGGGATCGCCCCGCGCGGCGCCGCAGACTCCTGGGGGCACAGAGGAAGCAGCGCCACCGCGCGGCCGCACCGCCAGCCTCTGTCTCTCGAGCCGATGGCGCGCTGCGGCCCCGCGGTCGGCACACGGGACCCCCGCGGCTGGACGGAGGACGGCGGCAAGCGAGGGGTGGGCGAGGTCACCCGCACAGGGCGCGGACGGAGTCGCGCCTCTCGCGGCGCGGTCTTGGCCACAGCGGCTGCCCTCCCCCAGCGGGGAGGGGCGGCGCAAGGGCGCGATGGCGCGGAGATGATCGCGCACCGCGCCCCGCGATGGCTCGAAGTTGGTTGGGTCCATGCCGTGTCGACGCGGCGGCGACCCCGCCGCGGGCGTTCGAGGTTGGACGACGCCAGCGGCACGGAACGGGCCCATACGAGCCGATGTGGCGATCGAAAAGCCGCGAATCGTTCAACGTTGAACGATCCACGCGGCATCAGGAACATCATCGCTGGGGTCATGACGACACGAACCTTGGGTAAGTCCACCGGTTGCGCACAGACGGCCCACCCAGGTAGTCTCCGGCTGACGTCAGCAGGAGCCTCGAGCAGTCCCAGCTGGCCTCAACAGGTCTTCGGATGCAACTCCTGGGAGGTCAAATTCTGTTTTCGCCCTGGTCCGAAATCCGGCTTAATCCAGCTTGCTCCCGCTTAACCCGGCTTAATCCCGCTTAATCCCTCTTAAGCCGGCTTAATCCTGCTTAGTTCGAGGCCCACTCCGGCGTAAAAGCTTCCAAATGGGGCTGAATCCTCCCTAATCTTTTCGACGAACACCTCCCAGTAGTTGCCTCCTAACAGGTCCCCCGAGCAGTCCGGGGCGGTCTCAACACCTCAACTCCTGGGCGCGGAGGGGCGCGGAGGGGCGCGGAGCGCTCCAGGGGAGGCGCCAGGGGCAGCGTTAGGGGGTTGAGATCGCTCTGGGCTGCTCGGCGGGCCTGTGGAGGGAAGCTGGGGCCTGTCGGGGGTGGGCTGTCTGTGCGCAGCCGGAAGTCTCACCAACGAAGCGGTCGTGCTTTCCGTCGTGCTGGTCCTTCTTCCGCCACACCCCGGGGCTCCGCTACAGATAGCGCACTCGTGGTCCTTGTGCTGTGCCGCTGCTCTCTCTCGAGCTTCACACGTGCAGGCACGTGGATCAGTCGAGCACCGCCGCGCCACACCCCGGGTTCCGCGCCCCGGGAGGCCCCGTCGGAGCCCTCCAGGCCAGGGCGCCCCCCGAGGGCGGTGCCGCGTGATGATGATGATGATGATGATGCTGATGATGATGGTGATGGTGATGGTGATGGTGATGATGATGATGATGGTGATGATGATGCTGCTGATGATGATGATGCTGATGATGATGCTGCTGCTGTTGGTGGTGGTGGTGATGGTGGTGGTGATGATGATGGTGATGGTGGTGGTGATGATGATGATTATGATGATGATGATGATGGTGGTGGTGGTAGTGGTGGTGGTGGTGGTGCTGATGATGATGTTGCTGCTGATGCTGATGCTGATGCTGATGCTGATGCTGATGATGATGATGATGATGATGATGGTGGTGAAGGTGATGGTGAGGGTGAGGGTGAGGGTGAGGATGAGAGTGAGGATGAGGATGGTGATGAGGACGAGGATGAGGATGATGATGATGATGGTGATGATTATGATGATGATGATTATGATGATGATGATGATGACGATGGTGGTGGTGATGGTGACGATGATGGTGATGGTGACGATGATGGTGATGATGATGGTGGTGCTGATGGTGATTGTAATGGTGATGCTGGTGATGATGTTGGTGGAAAGGACTGACGATTACGATGACGATGGCGATGGTGGTGATGATGATGATGATGCTGGTGATGCTGGTGCTGGTGATGGTGACGATGATGGTGAAAGTGATTGTGATGGTGATGGTGTTGGTGATGGTGATGGTGACGGTGATGATGGTGGTGATGGCGTTGGTGGTGATGATCACGATGACGATGATGATGCTGATGATGATGATGATGATGATGCGTGCAGATGGTGCTGATGATGAGGATGCTGTTGTTGATGATCGTGCCGACGATGAGGATCAGGATGAGGATAAGGTTGAGGATGAGGATGAGGGTGAGGGTGAGGATGGTGTTGGTGGTGTCGGTGGTGGTGGTGGTGGTGATGGTGATGGTGATGGTGATGGTGATGGTGATGGTGATGGTGATGATGACGGTGGTGATAGTGGTGTTGGTGATGGTAATGGTGATTAGGATGAGAATGGGGACGAGGATGAGGATGATAAGGGCGATAGTGATGATACTGGTAATGGTGATGGTGGTGGTGACGGTGGTGGTGAAGATGATGGTGGTGATGGTGGTGATGATAATGACGATGATGGTGATGGTGTTGGTGTTGGTGGTGGTGGTTGTCACGATGATGGTGATGATGCTCATGGCGATGGCGATGGCGATTGTCATGGCAATGGTGATGGTGGCAATGGTCATGGTGATCGTGATGGTAAGGTGGTGGTGATTGTGATGGTGATGGTGGTGATGATGATGGCGATGATGATGGTGGTTTGGGTGGTGGTGATGATCATGGTGGTGGTGTTCGTGATTGTGATGATAATGGCAGGGTGTTGATGACGATGAAGCTGGTGATGCCGTGTTGATGATGGTAATGACGATGATGATTGTAATGACGATGCCGATGAAAATGGTGGTGGCAGCGGTGATGGTGATGGTGTTGATGTGGTGATGGTGGTGGTGATGATGATGATGATGATGATGAGATTGATGATGATTGCGATTGTGATGCTGATGCTAATGATGACACAAACGACGACGTGCGATGAGGAGGGGGAAGACGTGCAATGAGGAGGAGGAGGAGGATAGGCGAGGGGAAGGATCGGGACGGTGGAGTTGGACGAACGATGAGGAGGAGGTTGAGTCAGGGGGAGGGGGAAGGGGGAGGATGAGGATTCGGAGGAGAATATATGATGAGGGCGACGAGGGTGAGGACGTACGATGAGGGGAGCGGTGCAAGATGATGATGAGGAGGAGGAGAAAGACGAGGAGGAGGAGGAAATTCATGGTGCATAAACGCTGCAGCAGCACACCCTCCCGTTCCAAGTCGCCGCCTCGTTAGTCCCTACATGCATTTGTTTCACTGAGCAAGGCGCCCCCTTTGAAAGACGTGCGCCCTCAGGGGCCCGGAATTAGGGCGGGAGCTTCTGATAGAAGTTGCCGTGCACAAAGGGGGGTACGACCAGATGGGGTCACAGAGTGAAAGGGAGGTGCCAGCGACAGCCCCGCTTTGAAAAGATACCGTCGCCCATCCGTCCGACTGCTACACAAGTTTAGACGCCTCGCCGTACAGCCTGACAAAGGCTTAAGCGAGGCCCGAAGATGTAAAGGAACCGCCGTACAGTTTCATACCCATGGCATTGCATGGTGAGGAAGTCGCCGTCCAGAGCCCCATGTTGAAAAGGACGCGCCCTCCATTCGTATAAGTGTCGGAAGTGATTCAGACATGCGCGCGCGGCGCCAAGGCGAGTGCCCCATGATGAAAATTGGTCGCCTTTCGCCTGTGTAAGTGTTTGATGTGATGAAGACGAGTACGCGCGGCGCCAAGGCGAGAGCTCCATTGTAAAAACGATTCGCCATTTATCTGGCTCGTATTTGAGTCGTTAGCCCCGATATCGAACACGGGGAGGGCGTCTATCAGGCAAAAAAACGCTCTGCCCGCCATGACGACCCGCCTGGTGGTGCGACAGGAATGCGGTATTCTTCAAGTAGGGGGATGGATCGGGGGGACGATGTAGAGCAGGAGGGACAGGACTGAGGGGGCGGTCTGGGGGCGCTTCGGCAGAGAGGGAGGAGAAGAAGGATGACCGCGAGGGAGGAGGAGGAGAAAGACGACGAGGATGAGGGTGTTGGAGGAGGACACATGGCATAAGCAGGTGTTCTCGGGCCCTACCTCTACCGTGCACAAGGCTTCATGGCGCCATCGCCCCATTGGCCCACCGTGGTCGTCGGGAGCTGGCCTCTCGCATGAGCATCAGCCTGCGACCCACGCCGCAACACTTCCCGACCGCTCACGCTGCTGAAAAGCCAATCACCAGGTGCCAGAAGACTGAACAGACGAAACTTTGCAGACGCCGAGCTGGCTGTCTCCACTTGGCACCCCGATTGCCCGGTTCCCTGGCGGTGGTCCGCCGAGATTGCTGCGCCGCGTCTCGATGACCCGCCCGCCAGCACTCGCACGCCCGGATCCCTGCACTGGCTGGTATTCTCGCAGCGGCATTTGCCACCGCCGTGTGCCTTCTCGCCGGAGTTGATCCCAGCACCGCAGTGTGTGACCCTCCCTTGCGCCCGCCTTCTTGCACGAGCTAATTCCTACGCTGTAGCTGGTGATGTGCTCCCACGGTCGCCTGCCTTTTCGCACGAGTTGATTTGTACATTGCAGCTGGTGAAAGGCTCCCACGGCCGCCCTTCTCACAGTGCCAGGTTCTGCCATTGCACGCCTCCTCGCAAGAGCTAATCCCTGCAAGGTAGTTCACGACCCTCCCGAACGACCACCTCGCACAAGCTGGTCCATGCGCAGTGGCTGAGGGACTGCTCCCAAAGTCGCCTGCCTTCTCGCACGAGCAAATCCCAACATTCTCGCACGAGCAGATCCCTTCTCGCTTGTCACCTCGCACGGGCTTATCACTGCACTGCAGCTGATGCTCTCCCCCCCGATGGCCCCGAACTGATCACTGCGCTGTAGCTGATCTGCTCCCGCCGCGATGGCCCTTCTCGCAGAACCGCCTGCCGTCACCACGCTCCTTCTCGCGTGTGCTGATCCCTGCGCTGCAGGAGGAGGAGGGAGGAGGAGGAGGAGGAGGAGGAGGAGGGGGAGGAGGAGGAGGAGGAGGAGGAGGAGGAGGGGGAGGAGGGGGCGGAGGAGAAGGAGGAGGACACGCTGCCGTGCTCGTGGCCTGCCGACGACACACTGCGCCAGAGAAGCCGCCTGGACGTGACGCGCCCACCTTGGCGCGCCGAGGTGCACAGGGCCCCCACGGGGCAGCGCGCGCAGGCCGCGCCCCCGGCCACCTGCGCGGCCCCACCCGGCCTCCTCTGCGGCCGACCTCAATCAGGAGGGAAAAAAACACACAGACACAATTAATCCTCGATTCCCAGGAAAAGATGGGAAAATATGGGAATTGGGGGGGAAGACAAAAACCCAGAAAATATGATAAAATATGGGGACTATTTTTATTTGTGTGTATTTATTTGTGTGTCCTAATTTCCCTTTGCTCAAGTCGGGCCTGTCCCTTCACGGGAGGAGCATTCAAGAACCGTCGTAGAAGATAGTCCGGGGACGATGTTTCTGGTATCGTTTGGCCATGTTCGAGCATGGTTCGCTGTTCGTCCAAGATCCGCCTGTGGGGCTGTGGAGGACGATCAATGGACCGGAAGCATGTTGCCAAATGATTTCCAGATGTCTACAACATGTGTTAAACATGTTTAAAATATGTAAAAGCATGTTAAAAACATGTTTAGAACATTTTTTCCGACATGCCCGACCTGACGCCAACCTCTTCGGGGCTCGGCGGCGGTGGCGCCCAGCGAGGCAGCCCGCCGCCCTCTCCTCCAAGAGGGCGCGTGGAGCCGACAGGCGGGGCGGGCCCGGGAGGCGTCGGCGCGGAAGGGCGGTGCAACTGCGGAGCCCGTGCTCCGGGAGCCTGGAGACGGGGGTCCTTGCAAGCGGGGGTCAGCCAGAGCGCCCCGATCCTGCTGGATCCCGCAGGGCTAGGGTCGCACTGACCCGGGTCTGGGTGCAGGACCCTGCAGGATCTTGCAGGATCCTTCGCACTGGCCCGGGCTTGGGTGCAGGATGTTGCAGGATCTTGCAGGATCATGCAAGGCCTGACTGACCCGGGTCAGAAGATCCCAAAGTGTTCCCCCAAGACTTGCGTTGGGCATGGCCCTCTACAGGAGGAATGTTCAAACATAGTGAGAACAAATGTTTCGACAATGTTTTTATTATGGGGGAGCATGTTCTGCTATGTTTCATTTTCGTCCACAATCCGCCCGTAGGAGAACACGCCCGACCTAAACCCAAGACCCTGGCCAGGTCTGCCCCCCCCCCCCCCCCCCCCGGGCCAGGGCCAGGAGGTGCTGAGGAGGGAGGAGGAGGAGGAGGAGGAGGAGGAGGAGGAGGAGGAGGAGGAGGAGGTGGAGGTGGAGGGCGGCGAGGGAGGAGGACGAGGGACGAGGGCGAGGACGAGGACGAGGAGGAGGAGGAGGACGAGGACGAGCACGAGGCGAAGGCGGAGGCGGAGGACCTGCGTACCGCTCGCCCCCCCTCGGAGCCCCCCGTCGGAGCCGAGGCCCCCGCGGCGGCGCCGCGGCCTCGCCGCACATGGTGCGGGCGGCCCCGCTGCCGACGCTGCTGCAGGCCCCGCGGGCTCCGCCGGCTGGGCTCGGCGGCCACGCGCCTCGTGCTCGTTGTTGTCCAGTGGTTCGAAGGTGGGAGGTGGGGTCCTGATGGATGGGGTCGTAAGGACGAGGTGCCTCAGGCAACAGAGATCCACCTCTGGGCCCCTATCCCATCCTGAGGGCCCCATCTCTCAGGACCCCATCTTCGAAGCACCGATTCGTCCTCCCCCCGCGCCGTCCTCTGCGTCCTCAGCAGTTCCTGGCCCTGGACCCGGGGCGGACAGTGCACGCGTCCCTCCAGGAGCCTCGCCGAAGACGTGAGTCATCGGCGCCCCTGGGTATACGTATTGCGCTCTCCTGGGCTATTCGGCATCGTCGCCGCCGAATCTAGGCCCCCCAGATGGGTGCGGAGCAGATGGGGAGTATTGTGCTGCATCGCCGATACATCGGCGATTTTCTCCACACCGACGTCGCAGATGCGTCGCCTACGTCGCCGATGCAACGCCGATGAATCGGTGATGCATCGGCGATGCGTCGCGATCCTCCGACGCCGTCTACTCCGACTCCATTTGGGAGGTGTCCAGAGCGGTCCTCCGCCTCTCAGTGACCCTTCGGGTGTTCCAGCTCGCAGGCAGCGGGGTTCAGCGCAATCGAAGCTAGGCCAAAGCGCCAGATCCTGCAGGATTCTGCAAGGTCGGCGTTCGGCGGAGTCAGTCGCCGGAGCCGTTCGAGGATCGAGGTTCCAAGCTTTTGCACGTACAGCGATGCCCTCTTGGGGGCCTCCCGAGGGCCTCCTCGTCACCACGGCTGGATCACGAGAGTTTGGTCACAGCGCAACCCTTGAGAGGCCCTGCGGGGGTCGAGCTCTGCAGAGGAGAAGCCAGGCATGGGCCCAGCTTCTCCGAGAAGAGCCGAGAAGTTGGCGCCTCTTCTCTCGGCGGACGGCGGCGGGTGTCGAATATGCACCCCCAAGCTCAGCTGCCTCTGCACGCCCGTTCTGAAACGCAGCACGTACCGTGCTCAAAACGTCTGTGACAAGACGGTGCGTGTTGGCACGGCGTCTTGGCCCACGTTCTGGCGAACGTGTCACGTCAGACCTACGTTCTCAGTCTACGTGTTGAGCTCCGTATCAATACGCTACGTCTCGTGTTTGAAAAAAAAAAAAAAAAAAAAAAAAAAAAAAAACGCTACGTCTCGTGTTTGGCGCACCGGGGCAGCTAAGCCCCTAAGAGATGACGGCTTGGGGGGATCCACGGTCGGGAGTTTTGGCTTCGCGTGTCGCTCCACCAGGTTCCGGCCCTCCGCGCCTCGGCGCGGCACGCCATCCACGTCCCACGAGCGTCGTCGCTTCCGAGCCTCTCCTGGCCCTGCGCCCCGCGGAGTGGAGCAGCACGCTATCCGCCTGCAGGGGATGGCGTGCCGCCTGGGCCGCCACCGCGACACGCCGCGCAAGATGTTCTGGCCGCAGGCGTTCCACAGCGGACCCTCGTGACGAGGAGGGCCCATCGTGCCACAATCGTCGCTGCACGCCTGCCGTCCTGAGGGGCATCTCGCCCGCCGCAGGCCCCCTCCCCCCCGCCTCGGTCGCCGCGGCGTGACGCCGCTCGCGGGAGTGGTCAGGCTATGGGGCGCGTGAGGTCTCGAGGCTCTTTTGAGCGACTCCTGGCTGCGGGGAGGTCCAAGAAGGAACAGGTACCGATACGGCTACCCTTCCCTCGTCTTCGCCTTGTTTGGACCTACTGGGAGGCCCTCATCGCAACGGCTGGATTCGCCTCGAAATCCTGGTGGTGAGACCGCGCCCCGGGACAGGGTGTTGTGTGGGGTTTCTCCAGGAAGGACGGTGCGCCAGATTCGCGTCACGTCGACGCGGCGGCGACCCCGCCGTGGTTGTCCAAGACTGAACGGCGCCAGTGGCCCGGAGTCGGCCAACACTGGACGATCTGGCGATCGACAGGCCGCCGATCGTTCAGGGTTGGACGACCCACGGCACGGACCTGCCGTCGTTTCGACGGAGCACCTGGCCAAGGGCGTGCCGCAGACGCCGGGCTGCGTTCCCTGCGCCCGTCGCATCTACTCTGCCTGCCTCCCGCCCCCTCCCTGTGCACCGCGCCCTCCTCCTCCTCCTCCTCCTCCTCCTCCTCCTCCTCCTCCTGGCGGTTCCGATCCGACTCAATCGGGGTTCCGCCCTCCGAGGTTGCCCAGACGCCAGCAGCACCGGAGCGGGACGTCAGCCTCCAGAGGTTTGGCTCGAGGTACTAGAGAAAAGAGCAGGCAAGAAGGGACGGAAGAAGCAGAGTTGCAGCAGGAGCAGCACGAGAGAAGGCAAGCAGAAGGAGGGTTCGCTTCGTCGTCGGCTGCGGCTGCCTGGCGCTTCTCCCAGCATTGAGAGCTCGACAATGGCGTCCCGTCCCTACATCTTGGCTCAAGCTCAAGCCCCTGGCCCCCTTTTCAGGACACAATTGCCACTTTGCCCCCTGATCGCCATGGGGCGCAACAAAGGCGGTGTTGGTGGCCTTGCAGCTGCACGGCCGCCGAACTCGAACAGGGCGACGACAAGCGGCGGCGGCGGTGGACAGGGAAGCCCGCTCGGCGTGGCAGCTGATTCGAGCAGGGCGGCGGCCAACAACAGGGCGAACCAAATGAACCCGAACAATCCGAAGTTCTACAAAGCGCGTGGGCTCCGTGAGCGGCCGTGCGATTGGCCTGCAAATGTGGCGCAGCGACGGGAGAGAGGGCTTCGTGAGCACGCTGTGAACTTGGCCGTGGCGGAGGCCCCCGAGAAGCGCGCTGCGCACGGGCGCGACACGGAGAAGGTCGGCCACGCGGTGAGATCAGCTTTTGGCGGTCAGGCCCAAGTCCTCAAGGGAGGTGCGAGGGCCAAGCACGTCCACCTGGCTGATTCCGACGTGGACCTGAAGGTCGTCCTTCCAGGAGGCAGGCCCATGAGATCGGAAGACCGCGACATCTTGACAGGGAAGCTCGCCAAGCAGTTCGGGGCCGATCGCGTGGAAACTTCGAACCCGAATATCCACATTGTACACGGGGAGGGTGGGTCCATGGATCTTGTACCTTGTTGCGCCACCTTCTTCCCCGACGGTTTCCACGCTGGCCTGCCACGCAACGACGGCTTCAAGAAAAATCCGCAGGCGAGACTTGCAGTGAGGGACCGCAAGCTGCGCGCGAAGGAGCACGGTCTCAAAGTTCGTGGGCACGATGTCGAAGAAGCTGTCCGCAGGGCTCAGCAGGGGCACCCTCGGGCCGGATTCGACGAGCTCAACGCCGGTCACCTCATTCCATGATGCTCCAGGGTCCCCCCCCTACACCTTAGGCGATGCTTAAGAAAACCTAAGTTTTCGTCCAGAGTCTCGATGATTCTTAAGTTTTCCATGTAAATCCCAAGATTTTGATAGAAGTTCTGGGTTTTGTTCACTTTCTGAGACTGTGAATTTCTTAACCCATGATTTCTTGAGCATTTCGCAGGGTGTACACGAGCGCCGTCCACTGCCCGACGCAGACGCAGTGTACAGTGTGCAGAAGCCTTCAGGTACAGCACAGCAGAGGAGCGGCGTGTCACAACAGACGTTCTCGGCTCCTCGGCGCTCTCTCTCCCATGCCTCCGCCTGATTGTCGTCGACCCCGTCCCCTTCACCTCCCGCCCTCTCTCTCATCCGCCCCCTTCCATCGGTTCTGTCCGCTTCTCCCCTCGGACCTTTCCCCGTGCCAGAACTATTGGCCCCCTCCTCGCACCTGCCCCCTTTCCCCAGACCCCGACGTCGTGATGCTACAAAGCGTGGGCCCCTGGAGAACCCGACCTCTTCCCAGGGACCGGCTTTTCATCTTTAGTTCTTTTGTTGATTGCACTCCGTGCCCGGCAAGGGCCCCCAGAGTCCGAAAATTGCCAAACGTCGTCCGTCGTGATTTTGTCACGACGCGAGGGGTCTGGTCCAAAGGCTCCGGTCCCCTCGCACATCTCTCCCCCAGGGGGAGGGGGGGAGCAGGGAGGGAGGAGGAAGAGGAGGAAGAGGAATAGAGGGAGAATAATGAGCAGGGGGTGAGGAGAAGCAGCAGCACGAGGAGCCTCTTCGTCCACTCTCCTCCTCTCCATCCGCCCACACTCGGCGCCACAAGGTGAGCAGCAGCAGGGAGAGCAGGAGGAGGAGAAGCAAAATGATGGAGCATTGAGGTGGAGGGCAACTAGGAATTGAAGGAGGACGAGGGAGGAGAAAGAGGAGGAAGAGGAAGTCGAGGGGAAGGAGGAAGAAGAAGAGGATGAGAAGGCGAGCAGGATGAGAGGGATGGGGGAGGACGAGGAGGGAGGCATGAGCGGAGGAGGAAGAGGAGGTGGAGAAGACGCGTGCGATGAGGAACTATGGGGCGAGCAGGAAGAAGAAGAGGTTGAGAAGGAGGATGACAAGCTCGAGGCCGAAGACGTAGACGGAGACGAGGAGGAGCATCAGTACGAGGGGAAGGTGAACGAAATGAGTCTTGCGTGGGCCCAATCAGTAGGTCAGTTTGATTTGCGTAGTGTGTATGAGAAACGGTGCAAGACCGTGCAGATCAGCAAAGCGACACACATCAAACAAAGCCATTGCAAAGCAGTGGAGAACAATGGAACGCAAAGCGACGAGCCAGGCAATGCAAAGCAACACAATTCATTGCAACGCCATGCCCACCAGCGCAATACACAGCGACGAAACAAGTAAGATTCGGCGCAACCCTTGGCGCAACCTGTCACGCAAACGGCTTCCGCGCCACCTTGTCCAGTTCTCCGGAAGCTAAGCCTAAGTCGGGCGTGTCCCTCTACAGGGGGAAGTTTCAAAAATAGCAAAAATGATTTGGGGACGATGTTTGGAGCATTGTTGGGCATGTCTTGAATATTTCTTGACTATACTCCATTTCTCGTCCCAAATGCGCCTGTAGGGGGACACGCCCGACCTGAAAGCTAGGCGAGACGCCGTGAGTGCAGGCACCGGCACTGCTGTGTATACGAGCAGCCGTCCAGGGGGCGCTTGGTTTCCCCCCACACAGTCGTAGTCGAAGAACCCCGGCGGGGAGATTCTGGTGTTCCAAACCTCTCGGAGCTTAAGTGACGGGGGTCAATGCAAACGGGGGCACCAGAACCTGCAGGATCCTGCGAAAACCCCCTCTGGCTGACCCGGCTTAGCGAGCCGCTCGTGGCCGCGAGGCGGCCGCGCATCTGGGCTGATACGGGTTTGCGAAGCCTTGCGTTGCAGTTGTTTTTGAAAGTGCGCCAGTGGATCTCCCTGAATACACTAAAGGGGGGAGGGGGTCCAGAACCCGCCCCCCCCCCTCCCCCCCTTCAAGGGGGAGGGGGGGTCCGTACCCCCCCCCCCTCCCCCCCTTAAGGAGGGGGGGGTCCCGACCCCCCCCCCCCCCTCCCTTGAAGGGGAGGGGGGGGTCCGGACCCCCCCCCCCCTCCCCCCCCTTGGCGTTGGAAAGGGAAGGGGGGTTCGGACCCCCCACCGGTGTAGGAAGTACGGAGTTGGGAGTAGGGGGTGGTGAGTAGTGAGTAGTGAGTTAGTGCGTGATGAGTAGTGAGCGAGTAGGGAGTAGGGAGTAGTGAGTAGTGAATAGTGAGTGGTGTGTACTGATAAGTGAGTAGTGAGTGGCGAGTAGTGAGTAGTGAGTAGCGAGTAGCGAGTAGCGAGTAGTGAGTACTGAGTAGGGAGTAGGGAGTAATGAGTAGTGGGTAGCGAGCTAGTGCGTAGTGAGTAGTGGGTGGCGAGTAATGATTAGTGAGTAGTGAGTAGCGAGTAGTGGGTAGTGCGTAGTGCATAGTGAGTAGTGCTTAGTGAGTAGTGGGTATCGAGTAGTGAGCAGTGAGCAGTGAGTAGTGAGTAGGGAGTAGGGAGTAATGAGTAGTGAGTAGTGAGTATTGGGTATTGAGTAGTACGTAGCGCGTAGTGAGTAGTGAATAGTGATGAATAGAGAGTAGTGGGTAGTGGCAGTGGGTAGTGAGTAGTGAGTAGCGAGTAGGGAGTAGCGAGTAGTGAGTAGTGAGGAGCGAGTAGGGCGTAGTGAGTAGTGAGTAGAGAGTAGAGAGTAGTCAGTAGTGAGTAGTGGGTAGTAATCATTGAGTAACGAGTAGGGAGTAGCGAGTAGGGAGTAGGGAGTAGGGAGTAGTGAGCATTGAGTAGTAAGAAGTGGGTCGCGAATTTTGGGTGGTGAGAAGCGATTGGTGAGTCGTGGGTAGTGAGTAGTGACCAGTGACTAGTGAGTTGTGACTAGTGACTAGAGACTATGTAGTGACTGGTGAGTAGGGAGTAGTATGTCGTGAGTAGTGAATAGTGAGTAGTGGGGAGTGAGTAGCGAGTATTGAGTAGCGAGTATGGGAGTACCGAGTAGTGACTACTGAGTACACTGTAGTCAGTATTGTGTAGGGAGTAGTGAGTAGCGAGTAGCGAGTAGTGGGTAGTGGGGAGTGATTTGTAGGCAATGAGTAGTTAGTAGTGAGTAGTGGGTAGTGAATAGTGGGTAGTGGGTAGCGAGTAGTGATTATTGAGTAGTGAGTAGGGAGTAGTGAGTAGTGCTTAGTGAGTAGTGAGTATTGAGTAGTGGGTAGTGAGGATTGAGTAGTGAGTAGTGAGTACGGAGGAGGGAGTAGGGAGTAAGGAGTAGTGAGTCGCGAGTACCGGATGGTGGGTAGTGAGTAGTGGATAGTGAGGAGTGCGTCGTGAGTAGTGAGCAGGGGGTAGTGAGAAGTGAGTAGCGAATAGCGAGTAGTCAGTAGTGGGTAAAGAGTATTGAGTTGTGAGTACTCATTGGGGCTGGTGTTAGTGGTTGGGTTTAGGATTAGGGGTTTGGGTTAGGGTGGGGACTAGGGGGGGGTGGCGGGGGTCGGGTTCCGGAGTCAGGGGGCGGCGTGGCGAAAGGGGGGGGGGGGGGGTCGGACCCCCCGCCCCCTTTTGAAAAGAGGGGAGGGGGGGGGGTCCCCGACGACGGGTCGGGGAAAGGGGGGGAGGGGGGGGGTCCCCGACGACGGATCGGAGAAGGGGGGGAGGGGGGGGGGGGAGGTCCCGACGACGGATCGGGGAAGGGGGGGGGGGGGTTCCTACCCCCCCCCCCCCCTTGGGGAGATCCAGCGGCGCACCCTCCTCGTTGTTTCTTCCTGCATTGCAGTTTTTGGTTTCCTGCTGACCCGGGTCGGATTGACCCGGACTAGCAGGTCCCCCAACCCAACCCTCACGCCCACTCTCTTCATTTTGGCTCCCTTGGCCTCAAGTCTCGCATCGAGCAGACAGCTTGTACACATCTGCACTGTCAACTGCCGCGCTCTCCGCCGCTGGACGCAGACTTGATGCCACGCCGAGTTGGAGACTCGCTGCGTCGACGTGGGCTCAACGAGAGGAAGAGGGGGACGACGAAGGAAGAGGAAGGAGGAAATGCGGGGAGAGATGGCAGCATCAGACGAAAGGTTTTGATCTGCGCCGCGGCCATGCATCCACCGATTGACACACCGGGTCCCGCCGCGAGTATCCCTGTTTCTGTGGCCGGGTCGTTGGATTGTCCATATTTCGTCTATGTGTGTGTGTGCCGACGTTTGCGTGCGACCGGTGACGTCCCTTTGGGATGCAAGTAAGAGGTCCGAGTGGCGCTCCCAAAGTCTAGCCCTCGCCGGCCAGTGTCGATCTGAGCTCTCCTCATTTCCAGCCCCCGTCTGTTGCTTGCCGTTCCGCCAGTCGGGGCTCCACCCAGAGCCGGCCGACGCTGACGCCTTCGACACGGCCTCCAGGACTTCTTCCAGGCTTGCGCAGGGTAGGAAGAGGGATGGAGGTGTCAGGGATCGAGAGGGGGGGGGGCATAAACATGAACATTCGGAGCTCCCCTCCTGGATCGTTGCCGGCCCCCCGTGGCGGCGCCTCCGGGGCCGCCCCTGGCGCGCTGCGCGCGCCAGGGAGGGGGGTGCGGCACCGATCCAGGAGATCCGCACGGAGCTCCGAACGTTTATGTTCACGTATGCAGTTTGCTTGTTCCTCGGCAGTGTTTTCGTCGCAGTGCTGATTCAAGTCGTAGGTTGAGTCGCGCGCAGTTTCGGAGCAGTAGTCTCTGCATGCGCGTGGGCTTCCGTACCGTTCAGGCGCCTTGGGTTCGTTATCGCGGGGCTCGTCTCCATCGTGGGGTGCGCGATGCGCACCACTGCAACACACATTCACACACTTGTTCCTGCAGAGGCCAGGTGACACCACGACGTTCAATTTCCACCCGACGTTGCAGATAGGGGTTCCAGACGACAGCAGACACGGGCACAAAAACGCGAGACCGCGGATGCACGTGGAAAATGCCCAGTAGGCCATGCGGGTGCCAAAGCGTACGGATACAAAAGGCATAGAAGGAAGGAGAAGTGACAAGGGCATGAGATGTTTTCCCTCGCAGCCCACTTAAGAGTGCGACGCGAAGGCGGCCGGTGCAGCATTTAGGCAGGAGGCCATCGTTGTGTTTAAACATGTGGCCAGCATCCTTGCTGTAGAGGGCGAAGGGGCTCGTGCGCATGGGGGCACGAGAGCCGGAAACAGATGCGCTCACACACACACACATTGGATGCAGTATTATTGGATTGGGCACGATGCAGTCCGATTCGTATCGGCGACGGTAGGTGGCTTCGCCTCGACGGGGCACTCGTCGTCATCGCTTTCCGCTGCGCCCTGTCGGACGAGGTGCAAACGTATCGCACAAGGTGAACATCGTGAGATTGTTGGCGGGGGCCACGAGTTGGACGAAGAGGAAGAGGTTGAGGGGCGGAAGGAGCAGGAGGATAATGATCCGATAATTTGGGTTCTAGAGGCATAGACAATGCACGCGGCTTCAACCATCATCGGCACATGTCTTGGATCGGGTGAACTCGTTGGCAGCCACATGCAGGAAGCAGATCGCTTCGATTACAGAGCATGATGAACACGGTGGGGGCGTTGGTTAAGGAATGCGCCCAGGATGCTGCAGACCCTAGAGGATTCATGATCTGATGAGGGCGGCGGTGATATCCATGGCGAAGAATCGATTGGAGTTCAACCGGCCTCTAGATCCTGGATTCCTGATCCACTGGTTCCTCATCCCATCGCCCCACCGTACCATTGCACACGAACGTCTCTGACGAGTCTGCACGAGTGGTCACGCGATTGCGGATAAGAGTGAGTGGGCGCGGCGCCTGGACGGCACGGGTCTCGGGGAGGCCCGGGCCACAGGAGGGGCCAGAGGGGCGGGTGCTGAAACAACATTTCATAGAGTGGTGTGTTGTGATCGTTTTTGTTCCCTACCTAGGCTCTGCCTAGAAGGGTTCTTACTTTATAAGCTTAAAGGGGCCGGGCAGTGGACCACGCCCCGGGCGGTTCCCCCAGGATCCGCCCCGTGTTTCCCCCAGTGAAGTCCCCTGAGCTTTTGCGTTGCTCATCTCATCTTATCTTAGCCTAGCTTAACTTAGCTTCGCTTAGCTTAGCTTAGTTTAGCTTAGCTTAGCCTAGCCTAGCTTAGCTTAGCTTAGCTTAGCTTAGCTTATATCATATCATATTATATTAGCTTATCTGTGTCTAGCTTAGTTTAGTTTAGCTTAGTTTAGCTTAGTTTATTTTATAGTATAGCATATTAGCTTAGCTTAGCTTAGTTTAGCTTAGCTTAGCTTATATCATATCAGCTTAGCTTAGCTCAGCTTGATTTGGCGTGGCTTGGCTTGGCTTGGCTTAGCTTAGCCTAGCTTAGCTTAGCTTAGCCTAGCCTAGCTTAGCTTAGCTTAGCTCAGCTTAGCTTTGCGTTAGCTTAGCTTTGGCTTAGCTTTAGCTTAGCTTTAGCTTAGAGTTAGCTTATCTTTAGCTTAGTGTTAGCTTAGCTTCAGCTTAGCTTCAGCTTAGCTTTAGCTTAGCTTTAGCTTAGCTTTAGCTTAACTTATTTTAGATGTAGCTTAGATTTAGCTTAGCTTTAGCTTAGCTTTAGCTTAGCTTCAGCTTAGCTTCAGCTTAGCTTCAGCTTAGCTTTAGCTTAGCTTTAGTTTAGCTTTAGCTTAGCTTTACTGTTACTAGTAATGCTGCTTTCCTAGGGGCTCTAACTCCTAGGTAGGGTCGCACTGGGATAATTATGCGTTGTTTTGCCGACCGGCGCGGGCCCTCGCGCCCTCCCCCCCACCCCTCCGAATGGAGTAGATCTTGGCTGTTGTTGGCGCCTGTTTCGAGCAGGTGGAGTCTCCCCTAGAATGGACACACTGCTGCAAAAAACCGCACGAAGCAGAGGTCTGGAGCCAGACACCCCCCTCCCCCCCCTTTCCGCCCAATGTCGAAACGCCGAATAAGAAAAACGTTCACCTTCTCAAACCTACTACACGGCAGCCCGCTGCAGACGCCATTGTCTGTCAAAGCAACGTGGACGCGTCGCTGGGCGGGTCGCGGGTGGGTCGCGTGTAGGTCGCGTATGGGTCGCATGCGGATCGCTAGACGACGACGACGACCACAGAGCAGCAATGACAACGATCTGCATCGCGGAACCCAACTTCAGCCACGCACCCAGGGGCAGTATAAGACCGCTTGCCGCTTGCCCCCGTCCCCCCTCCTGGCTCTAACAGTTATCGCCGCCTTTTTTTGTTGAGGAGCATAAGCTCCCAAAGAAGGAGGTGATGGTTACAGATCATCGTGTCGTGCCGACGCGGCAGCGACCCCGCCGCGGGCGTCCCAGCTGAACGCTGCCAGTGCCCCAGAATCTACAAATATGTAACGATTTGGCGATCGACAACCGCCGAACGTTCAAGACTGCTGCGGTTCGCGCGGTGTCAGAAGCCAACGCCCCAGTCGTCACGCCGCGAATTGGCCGCACGGTTGGTGGCAAAATGATGGGGCACCTTTAGCAGCAGGGGGAGGAGACAGCAGGAGGACCAGGAGCCGAAGCACGAGCAGAGGTAAGCGCACGATCAACGGGAGCAGGCGGAAGAGGAGCGAACCGCGGCCGCAGGCCCACCACGCTGTCGGCCATCCAGACGCCATCCACAGTGCACTCAAACTTGGACTCCCGGACTGGGTCCCAGGCGCCCACGGTGACAGCATGAGGGGGGGGGCTGGGCTAGAGACTGGGGAGGAGCATGAGGACATGGAGGTTTGGGGTGATAGCGAAGTGAAGCGGAGTGCCCCCCCAAGCAGAAACTTTGGTTTCGGTTCGTGTCGCGCGTGCGGGCGAGGCGAAGCCGCGCGAGATAGATTGCCCTCGTGAGACACAGATCATTCAGATTGCTCCACCCCCCGTGGCCGCCGCTACAGCCCCAGAATGTCCGGCCGCTGTCCTTTGTCGGGGGCGGCCAAGAGAGGGGTAATGACTAGGGAGGGGTGGATTTCATGGCGTGGGCCATGATATTTCCCCAGATGTTATAGCGCCTCTTCTCATTTCATTACGTCCCTGTCCCCCCCCCTGGGCCGCGCACATGCCGCCGGCCATGATTTGCACCCCCCTCTTGGACACCCCCCTCTTGGACGCCCCCGACTTTAGCTGCCTCCACGAACGTGAGGAGATTAAGAGGAGGCGAGGGATTCATAATGATCGTAATGATGTTTGAAAATGTCAGAGGTTCACACTCGTGAGAAGAGTAAGGGAGGATACGGCTCGAAGATCCGGAAGGGCCTGAAGAGTCAGAATGCAGTTGTTGGTCCGGAGAGATCGAAGCAGTAGTGGTCACAGAGACTCTACACTAAGGAGAACAAGTAAGCCCATGGAAAGATTGTATATATTCCGAGGGCTCAGAAGAGCCAGAAGCGTGGGAAGACTTTGAAGAGTTCTAGGAGCGCCGAGGTCTTAGCATAGGCCGACGTGATGTAAGTGCTCAAAGAATAGATAGTGAACCCGACGCGAAGCCGATCGCACACCGAAAGTTGCACCCATCCCCCTTAAAAACACAAAAATATCACCCGAAGGGTGGTCTGAAGTCGGCGTCACCCCACCATACTTATACTATATGTGCGTCGCCACCCCAGGGGCGATGCGCGCACCGAGAGATCTTATAGTATATGCGTCGTGGCGGGCGCTTTCTGGCCACACCGCTCGGGAAACGATCTACTACAAGATGGGTGCGCTATGTATTTGGGTCGGACGCGCGCCTCCAAGGAGAACAGATCGTACTGGTATGTCCTTACGCGTCCCATGAGAGGTCTGATGCGCAGGGGGGAGGATCGAGCGGGCCAGAATCAGCGAACGAGCGAGGACCATGACGACAGGCACGGAGGGCCGAGTCCGTGACGGGAGCACGCGTGCGCTCGTGTCACGGACCTGCCCTTTGCCGCGGGTGGCGCCAGGGTCCAGCAGAGGCGAAGCGTCCTGGCGTGCCTACATAGTCCTACCAAACAAGGTTCTAAGAACCCTTTGTGGTTCCCACGAAATGCTCGTAGAACAGTTCTGGCTGGGGCTGCCTTGTTTTAACATAAGGCTTCGGTTCTAAGAACATTGTTGTTGTTATGAGAACATTTTTGGGTTCCAAGAACATTTCGTGGTAGGACTATAGGAATGCCGAGACGGTCGGTCCCTGCTCAACAGAAGGAGAGACCACAGTTCCCCGCAGATCTTACAGAGCGAGGAGCAACAGACCTGCTCAGCGACACCGGATCATCACCATCATCAGCAGCAGCAGCATCATCACCATCATCATCATCATCAGCAGCATCATCATCTTCATCAGCATCATCATCACCACCGGCACCATCGTCGTGTGCGACGATTTCGTCGCCGTCATTGTGACCGTGGACTGCGCGGACACTCGCGCGTATAAGCTGCCTGCAAAAGATTGCGCGTAAGTGCCATCTTTTCTGGTGCAGCGTGCCGCGCTGCGCTGGCGGCCCGCGCGAGCCGCGGCGCAGGGTTGTTTTGTGCCATCGCGCGCAAGACCGCTCCTGTCCTCGTCGCTCCTGGGGCGCGTTCCAGGTCGGGCCTTTCCTCCTCGCCGCTCGCGGGGCGCGTTCCGGGTCGGGCCTCCTCCTCGAGGGGTATCGAGCAGTTGGCACGCTTTCCTCGGCGGAAGCCGGCGGAAGTAAAACGAGGGCGGCTCCGGCGGCGGCAGCGGCGGAAGGCCGGCAGAAGTACAAGATGCGCCCCCAAGAGATGCACATTGTTGTCTGTTGCGGGCGTCCGAAACCGACCATCTCACCGGCAGCCCCCGACGGTCGCATCCTTGCCTCGTTGTCGCCTTTGTGGACCTCCTTGGAGGCCCTCGTCGCCACCGCTGGATTCGCCTCGAAATCTTGGTCAGAACGGACCCGGGAGAGGAGGTCCAGCGAGTAGCGGTATCGGTACCTTTTGGCTCCCCCGAGAGTGTCAGCGGGGCCCATTGTAAAGAGCCCCCCCATGCCCCCCTGGCCAGGGGAGGGGTCAGACGCTGGTTTGGGGGTCCCCCCGTGGGAGGATGGAGGAGGAGGAGGAGGAGGACGAGGAGGAGGAGGAGGAGGAGGAGGAGGAGGAGGAGGAGGAGGAGGAGGAGGAGGAGGAGGAGCGGAGGGAGGGAGGGTGGAGGAGGGCGGAGGAGGGAGGAGGGGAGGAGAGGAGGGAGGATGAGGAGGAGAAGGAGGACAGGAGGATGATGAGGAGGAGGAGGAGGAGGAGGAGGAGGAGCGGGAGGGGGAGGAGGAGGAGGAGGAGCAGGAGGAGGACCAGGAGGAGGAGAGGGAGGAGGAGGAGGAAGAGGAGGAGGAGAAGGAGGAGGGGGAGAAGGAGGAGACCCACATGGGGTCGGCGGTCTCTCCGCCGGGCTGGGCCTCGAAAGTGGCGGCAGCGCCCGCAGAGGTGCAGTCCTCCAACCGCGCCGAGATCGACGGCTGCAGCACGCGGGACCTGCGAGGGCAGGGCAGGGCCTGGCGCCTCTCGTGAGCCCTGCACGGCGGCAGGGCACACACACACACGCACGCACACGCAAGCACGCACGCACGCACGCACGCACGCACGCACGCACGCACGCACGCACGCACACACGCACACACGCACACCAACACGCACACACGCACACGCACGCACGCACGCACGCAAGCTCGCACGCACGCACGCACTCACACACACACACACGGACGCACGCACGCACGCACGCACACACGCACACACGTACGCATGCACACACGCACACACACGCACACACACGCACGCACACACGCACACACGCACGCACGCACGCACGCACGCACGCAAGCTCGCACGCACGCAAGCACGCACTCACGCACGCACACACGCACACGCACGCAGCACACGCACACACGTACGCATGCACACGCACGCACACACACGCACACACACACGCACGCACACACGCACACACAACACACGCACGCACACACGCACACACGCACACGCACACACGCACACACGCACACGCACACACGCACACACACCACACACACACACGCACGCACGCACGCAAGCTCGCACGCACGCACGCACGCACGCATGCACGCACGCACGCACACACGCACGCACGCACACACGCACACACGTACGCATGCACACACGCACGCACACACTCACACACACACGCACGCACACACGCACGCACGCACACACACACGCACGCACATCCGTAGCCATTCTGGCTCAAGCCATTTTGGCTCAAGCCGTCCTCGCCTGTCTTCTCTCGGTTTTGGCCCGCGGGCGCCAGAGCGTCGACCTCTTGAGGAATGGCTGCGGTTCGCTGCCGAGCCGCCCCCGCCGAGGCGGCGGCCGAGCAGCCATCCCGCGCATCCCGCGCTGGCGCCCCTGGCGGCTCGCTCTGGCTCGCTCGCCGCGCCAGGCGCGCCGCGGCGCGGGCGGCAGAGTGCGGGCGCTTGGCCGCTGCCTTGGAGCGCGTGGGCGCGCTCGAAGCGGAGCTGGCCGCGGTCCGCAGCATCCACGCGACGGCGGCAGGGCAAGCGCTCCGCATCTCCTCCCCGCGGCTGGGGGGAGTCGAGGCTGGTGCGACGCTGCTCCAAGAGCTCGTTACCAGGCTCTCACTTGCTGTCCCAGTTCTCCTGGACAAGCTCGCGCAGGGTGCCGAGGGTCAGGAGGGCGGCGGTGGGCGGGCGGGTGCCTCGGGTGGCCCTCCATCATCGCATGCACCTGTGACCAGCGGCCTCACGAGCGGCGATTCGGGAGCGAAGCCAGTTCTCGGCTGCACGGTTCCACCTTGCGGCGCGCTCCCCGCCAGCGCGCCAGGCGGCCCGACAGGCGGGCAGGCGGTTCACGACTGCAAGTTCGGCGACGGCGGCGACGCAGATCGGCCCCATGGCGCATTCCCTGCCAGAAGGCCAGACGGCCCTGCTCGCGGCGCCGCATCGGCGGAGATGGGCACTCAGGCCAGCGGCGCGCCTGGCGCCCAGCCCGCCCCGCCCGTGCCCCGCGCCAAGGCGCTGGAGGCTGCCGGGCGCAATGCTGGCCCCCACTGCGCAGCGCGGCGTGGCGCATCCATCGCTGCCATGCGGTTGCGGTCGCTCAATCGGCTGCAGCGTGGACGGCGCGCGGCTCCGAGGCGCGGCGCCCGGCGGTCGAGCCAGGCAGCCGGCGCCCCGCCCCGCCGGCGCCACCCCGCGGCTCGGTCTGCGGCCGAGGGCGTCTCGACTGACTGGAAGGTCGCCTGCAGGCGCGGGCGCAGCCTCCCAGCGGGCTTGCGCCTCGACCTGGCCGAGCGGGTGCGCGGGGAGCCAACGCCCGAGCCAGCTCCGCTGGCCTCGGGACCCCGCTGGTGGCACTTGGAGCTCGACGGAGAGGAGCACCTGCACGACGGCACGGCGCGGTCGAAGCAGTGTGACGCGCCCTCCGCCGAGCCTGTCAAGCCGCCCCACATGGCCCAGTTCGGGAGCAAGCCGAAGGAGCGGGAGAGCATTGCATCAGGCTCCGTGCTCTCGGCTGGCGGCTCGAACAAAGAGGAGGGCTTCGAGGAGCAGGGCTTCGAGGAGCAGGACGTCGGCGGGCCCCTCGGTGACGCACCTGCGGGAGTGGCTTCGGTGGACCCCCCCCCCTTTTGGGGGGGGCACAGCCAGGAGGGTGCCCCGCGAGGGCGCCCCTGGTGATGCCGCATACCGCAGATAGACGTCAGGTGGCCCGCCTGCGGCTCGCAGTGCTGCGGCGGCACGTGGCGGATAGCAGCCGAGCGAGCGTCGACGACCGCGACCTCCGACGGCCTGGGTGGCAGGCGGCAGATGCAGGCGCCGTGGATCCCTCCCCGACGTCGCCTGCTGAGCGCCGCGCTGGGCTAGCCTGGATCCGTGGTATTCTCAATGGTCATGAGGACTTTTTCGTGGATTTCATCGGCTAGGGGTCACGGCTTGACCTTGGGCTGAGAGCATTGCGGGCCCAGGCATTGTTGTGCCATTCAGTGTGCACGTTATGTGGGGTCTTCTTGGTCTCACATGCGGTATTCTGGATCATCAGGCGCTGTTGCGCCCCATTTTTCACGCGGGTGTTTCATGCTCTCTCACTCGTGTGTGTTTATTATTACACACGCTTCGCGTGGCCTTGCCTCCAGAGTGTTGTGTATTTCGCACGCTTCGCGTGCCCTCGCTTGCGAGTGAGCCGCCGTGCCTCTGCTGTGGCGTGGGCTGTGGGGTCCTGCCGTGGTGTTGCCTGGCGCGTCGATCGGGCCGAGGGGCTTGGTCTTGGCGGCCCTGGAGGCTGCTGTGTGCACAGCTTGGCTGTGCGCACTTGCGCGAGTTTAAAACGCACGCACGCACGCACGCACGCGCGCGCGCACACGCACGCACGCACGCACACACACACAGGCACACACGCACACACACGCACGCACGCACGCAAACGCACCCACGCACGCACACACGCACACGCACACACGCACACACGCACACCAACACGCACACACGCACGCACGCACGCACACACGCACGCACGCACGCACGCACGCACGCACGCACACAACGCACACAGCACACAACACACAGCACACACATCACACCTACACAACACACACAACACACACACACGAAACACACGAAGCACGAAACACACGAACACACACAACACACTACACACAAAACACAACACACAACACACAACACACACACACACACCAACAAACACACACATACACACACACACGCCAGCACACACTCACCAACACACACACACACACCAACACACACACACACCAACACACACACACATACCAACGCACACACACACACCAACACTCACACACACCAACACACACACCAACACACACACCATCAAACCAAAACCCACCAACACACGCAACACGCACAACCCACATACAACACACACACCACACACGGCACACACACACTTCACACGCGCACACAACACACGCACACACCACACATAGACCACCCATACAACACAACACACACAACGCACATCACACAACACAAACACCAGCACAAATACCAACACACGCACACCATCACACACACACAACACCAACACACACAGCAACACACACACACCGGCACACACACGCACAGCAACACACACACCAACACACAAATCAACACACACACGACAACATACACACACACACCAACACGCACACACACACACCAGCACACACACCAACACACACACACACAACACAGACACAACACCCACACAACACACACAACACACACCACACACACAACACACACACACACATCGCACAAAACACACACGAAAGACACAACACACAGCACACACACACAACATACAACACACACCACACACAGAACACGCAACACGCACACACAAAACACACACAAAACACACACACAACACACGCAAACAACACACACCACACACCACACAACACACACAAGACACAACACACAATACAAACAACACATACAACACACAGAACACACACCACACAGACCACACCACCATACGACACACAGAACACACAACACACACCACACAGCACACAACACACACACCACACATACAACACACACAACACACAGCACACAACACACACCACACACAACACACAGACCACACACCACACACACAACACACACAGTACACAACACACAACACACGAAACACACATCACACAACACACACACAACATACACAACACACACAACACACACAAACATAACACACACAACACACACAACACACAACACACAATACACACAGAACACACGAAACACACAAACAACCGACAAACAGACACAACACACACAAAACAGACAAAACATCACAACGTCACATAGCAAAGCACAATATAAAACACAACACACACACAACAAAACACACAACACACAAAGTGTGTGCGTGTGCGTGTGCATGTGCGTGTGCGTGCGCGTGTTCGTGTGCGTGTGCGTGTGCGTGTGCGTGTTTTGGTGCTTTGGTGCATCGGCAGCCTGGGGCGTCGACACCTCTCCAGGCCCGTGCGCTGGGCCCTCGAGCGACCTTCCGCCGCCTGCCGAGCCTGGCGACTGCCGAGCCGCGGGCAGCGCACCCGCCGACTCCCCAGGGCGCAGAGCGCCGTGGCCCTCACGAGGCCGCGCCCCACCCTAGGCCCTTCAGCCTGGTGCCAAGGGGGGCAGAGAACAGAGCACGCGCCACGCCCAGGCCAGCCCGCAACGCGGGGAGAGCAGGCCCGAGCGCCCCGAGCGGCAGCCGCCACCCAGGCCCCTCAGCGCACGGACAACGCCGCGCCAAGGAGGGCAAACGCACACCTGAGAGACCAAACAGATCATTGAACGAGCACAACGGCCTCACATCAGATCCTTGCCCGTCTTTGGGTCCGGGCCTCGCTTGATGCGGCTGATCCGCCTCTGACGCTCGCGATCTCCAGGATCCTTGGGATCGAGCCGCCTGCAGGGGCCACTGATGGCCCTGGCCACCGAGCTGTAGTACGAACCACACACGACGCACACCACGTACGTGCCGACGATCTCGACGGTGTGTGGTCGCGGCTCCGCCGAGGCCGCCCGTGGCGCCACCGGTGCTGGCTGCCCGCGGCTGGCGAGCTGGGCGGAGGCCGCCCGCCCGCGCGCGCCGCGCGCTGGCGCCGACGGCGCCGCCGCCGCCGCCGACGAAGAAGAGGCCCCCGCCGTAGCCGCGCCGCCGCCCACGTCCAGGGAGCAGGCGAGCTCGTCCTCGTCACCGCGATCGGCGCCGTCACACTGAGCATGGTGAGCCGATTGGGCAGCACTGCGGATCCGCAAAACACCCTCCCGCCCCGCCCCGCACGCTGGTGCCCCCGCCTCCTGTGGAAGGGGTGCCCTGGAGGCGAGGTCGGGATTGTGCGACGACATGCGCTCTGACGCCGCCGAGCCCGACGCCAAAGAAGGTGACGGCCGCTGCCGCTGGGACGACGCCTGCCGCTCGTCCGCTGCCACGAACTAACTTCACGTCACTGTGCACACTGAGGGCCGCATACTCATCGCCGCCGTCGCAGCCGTGGGCATACTCATGAGCTTGACCATCCACAACTCCACCTTGATCGGTGTGCGTGTGCGTGTGCGCGTGCGTGTGCGTGTGCGTGTGCGTGTGCGTGTGCGTGTGCGTGTGCGTGTGCGTGTGCGTGCGCGCGCGCGTGCGCGTGCGCGTGCGCGTGCGCGTGCGCGTGCGCGTGCGCGTGCGCGTGCGCGTGCGCGTGCGCGTGCGCGTGCGCGTGCGCGTGCGCGTGCGCGTGCGCGTGCGCGTGCGCGTGCGCGTGCGCGTGCGCGTGCGCGTGCGCGTGCGCGTGCGCGTGCGCGTGCGCGTGCGCGTGCGCGTGCGCGTGCGCGTGCGCGTGCGCGTGCGCGTGCGCGTGCGCGTGCGCGCGTGCGCGCGCGTGCGCGCGTGCGCGCGCGTGCGCGCGCGTGCGCGCGCGTGCGCGCGTGCGCGCGTGCGTGCGTGCGTGCGTGCGTGCGTGTGTGTGTGCATGCGTGCGTGCGTGCGTGCGCGTGCGCGTGCGCGTGTGTGTGTGTGTGTGTGTGCGCGTGTGCGCGTGCGCGCGTGTGCGCGTGTGCGCGTGTGCGCGTGTGCGCGTCTGTGTGTCTGTGTGTCTGTGTGTCTGTGTGTCTGTGTGTGTGTGTCTGTGTGTCTCTGTGTCTCTGTGTCTCTGTGTCTCTGTGTCTCTGTGTCTCTGTGTCTCTGTGTCTCTGTGTCTCTGTGTCTCTGTGTGTCTCTGTGTCTCTGTGTCTCTGTGTCTCTGTGTCTCTGTGTGTCTCTGTGTCTGTCTCTGTGTCTCTGTGTCTCTGTGTCTCTGTGTCTCTGTGTCTCTGTGTCTCTGTGTCTCTGTGTCTCTGTGTCTCTGTGTCTCTGTGTCTCTGTATCTCTGTATCTCTGCGTCTCTGCGTCTCTGTGTCTCTGTGTCTCGTTGTCTCTGTGTCTCTGTGTCTCTGTGTCTCTGTGTCTCTGTGTCTCTGTGTCTCTGTGTCTCTGTGTCTCTGTGTCTCTGTGTCTCTGTGTCTCTGTGTCCTTGTGTCTCTGTGTCTCTGTGTCTCTGTGTCTCTGTGTCTCTGTGTCTCTGTGTCTCTGTGTCTCTGTGTCTCTGTGTCTCTGTGCCTCTGTGTCTCTGCGTCTCTGTGTCTCTGTGTCTCTGTGTCTCTGTGTCTCTGTGTCTCTGTGTCTCTGTGTCTCTGTGTCTCTGTGTCTCTGTGTCTCTGTGTCTCTGTTGTCTGTCTCTGTGTCTCTGTTGTCTGTGTCTGTGTCTGTGTCTGCGTCTGCGTCTGCGTCTGCGTCTGCGTCTGCGTCCGCGTCTCTGCGTCTCTGTGTCTCTGTGTCTCTGTGTCTCTGTGTCTCTGTGCCTCTGTGTCTCTCTCTGTGTCTCTGTGTCTCTGTGTCTCTGTGTCTCTGTGTCTCTGTGTCTCTGTGTCTCTGTGTCTCTGTGTCTCTGTGTCT